CCTGCTGAGGAACCTATTTACTTCATGCAAAAAGATTAGCTTAATGAATCCTGGGTTTAACAAAACAGTTTAAGCCATGAATTAGCACTTTATACAACCTATGTGCTAGGCCCGCATGATTTCTCACCAGCTGAGAAGAAAATACTTTTAAAGTCTTCTGTCATACGCCAGAAACTATATCATAGGAGAGGAAATGGTAAAACTGGAAATAAATTAGCAAAATCAAGGTCAGCACAAAGATCACATGAAAGGAGGTGGCAAAAGAGGTAGAAGTAAAAATCACTGCGTGGTTCTACAAACACCTCTGAACCCTAGCCTTTTTACATAATTTTACCAGGCAGTTGTATACATGGAGCTAGCCAGACTTGTCTAATGGGTCCAATGACTCAACACCACCACCTGCCAAGAGCAATTTCACAGTATTAGTCTTAGAAAAATCATGATAAAAAGGTTTTTTTGGATGACATAGGTTGAATTGATACAAGGTCACATCTTCATATTAATTAGCAACATTTTACGGGCCTCATGTCTACTCAAATTACAAGTTCTAGAGGCAAGTCTCCTACAAAATACTATTGCTACACCAGATGAGCAATGAAACATCCCTACCCATATCCACCCAGTCCTGAGTTTTTATTCATCAAGGTGGGTCTCCTACAGGAAGATGTTTGCTTTAACTGTGCAACAGCTTTTTATTGACAAAGCTCCAGCTTCTTGATGTTGCAGGTACAGTTTGAAGTGCAATCCATAAAAATCAAAAATGTTCTTCAATCAGGTACTTGAGCAATGCCAATAAATAGGCTATCGTCAATTCCTTTGACATGGAAAGGTATAAGGGGACGCTCAGATAAAGAAAGTAGCAAGAGAAAAATTGAATTATTCTGCCTACCCCAGGATGGTATATTGTGGGAAACAGCTAGAAAGCAAGAATTAAAGTTCTCTGGAATAGCCAGGAAGTAGTTAAAGGGCACATAACTTATTAAAAGGAAACTGGAATCTAGATCCAAGAAACTTCTGTCATCTCCCACCACCCAAGAGCCATATGAAGATTAGTGAAACTCCCCTTTCAAAGAGAAGAGTTCTTACATCTCTGTAAGGTGGACAGGCTTTGTTCACAATCATGTTGAAGGAGAAATATAATTTAGTCTTAAGTGATACAGTCTAATTTTTAAGTCTATACTGGAGGGGTATGCAGGTTTGTCAAACACCACTGCTGCCTAGACTTTAGTCAAATGAACTATTTCCAGGAGCTAATTTTATTCCAGTTAAGAATAATTCATAGAAGTAGGTATTCATCCTAATACCTTTATAGTTTCCATATCAGAGGAAAGGATTCACACAATTAGCTTCCATCATAGCAACAGACAAATAACATCCCTCATGCTTTGTACAGTATAAGTTAGCAATAGTAATCTTTCTCCGTTGTAGGCCATTATTTCTTATCAAAACTTGTGCTCACATCTTTCAGTTATCTACTGCTACTTCTGGGTACATTGGTACTTTAATGAGTACTTTAAATGCTAGTATAATTTTTGATTGAAGTTAGAACTAGGATAGTCAGTCTTCCCTCACCCTCTTGCAGAATCAGCTGAAGACTCATGGACTAGGTTTTCAGTACTGCCAAACAACTTTCATTATTGTTGACTCTAGCTGGTTCTCAATATGCCTGCTACCAGTGGCATTTCCTTTTCTAGGAGCTGGTGACTTTATATCGAGATCAAATGAGTCATCTAATTCAAAATATTCCCATAATTACTATTTGTTCCATGTATGACTGAAGCAGTTTCTTTCCAAATTGTTTTTCCTCCCTCTTTAGAAGGAGAGTTCAGGTAATGATAGGGTACAGCATAAAACAGAACTCCACACATTTCTCTACTGTGTGGTTGTGTGCCTCAGCTGTAAGTGAGCAAATGCATGTGTCGGTCAGTTTACGAAGTGGCTTGTGATGTGGTATTTGCTCCTTGCTTGCTGCAAATGGTCAGTTGTTAGCTTTTGACTGCCACCTACCGGTTAGCCTAAAACTAGACACACTGTCACAAAGCATAATGACACACTGTCACACTGTCACAAAGCATAATGGCCAGAACTACAAGGGACTTGGGCAGAACTTTGGTGCTCAAGTCTAGACTTTGAAATCCTCAGTCTATTCAGCTGTTATCTAACCCAGCAGGTACTTCAGTTCTGGGCATTTTTGCATTCTCTGGGCATCTAAACTCTTGTGTACCCTCAAGATCCTCAGTTTGCACAGGATGGAGTGGCATAGCCTTATCAAGCTCACAGTTAAGCTTCAACAGGCTGAGAAGCACCTAGTTTTGAGGCTCTTATCTTCCCTCAGGAGCTTGTTCTGATAGGTGCTCTCTGAGTACACCTTACAGACTGGACTCAGGACAAAATGCAGTAGTGGCTACTGCCTTTTAAGAGACAACTAGCCAGGGAAGATGATTTCTTCTTCTCCTCTCTGCCTTTTAATACAATAGCTCAGGCTTTGAAACGCTCATCTAGACCAAGAGATCTGGGTTTAATTCCTTGCCTCAAGGATTCAAAGCCATCTCTCCCCGAGAAGCTAGAGGCTACTAGGGTGGGACACAATTCCTTCTCTGAAGTTGCTTTAGTGCACAAAACAATTCACAAGTCTTTGGCCAGAAGAGCATAAAACTCTACTTTATGTATTAGGACTAGTTATTATTCTAGTCCCTGGTCCAAGGACTGTTTACTATTTCAGGCTTCAGGGGCATTTTGAAGTGCTTCAGATATGTCCACAATCCCAGGCATCAAGTACCATAAAACACTTAATATTGAGTTATCTGCTACAGTACTGTCAGTAGCTGCTATCATCATAAGGATTCTCCCCGTTACCTTTAAGAACCCTCGTCTTCCCAGAGGGGAAGAAAACAATTCATACAAAAAAAACCCAAAACAACCCTAAACTATGAACAGGGCACACAGCCAGGGCACATAAGCAATTTTAATGCTTACCAATACAGGGAAGTGCTACTTAAGGCCAAATGCTAAACATGAATCTGAATATTAACTAGGGGTCATGTAATACCTCCTCAAATGTATGAGTTACCTAATTTCTGCAGTCCTGAGATCAAGTTTCTTCAGTAATTTAGAGATTCAAGTCTACCCCAATCAGCGGCTTACTATAATGCTTCATTTTGGCTCCAGTGAGGAAACAAATCCATAGAAGTAAATTAATACCTAGGATTCTCCTTAAAGTGAAAAGCTAGCAAGATGAAAGCTCAATTTTTTAGACTGTTAGAACTACCATCAGTTAACCATTTCCATCCATGGTCCTTGTCCCCATTTATATGGAGACTTTCTAAATTAAATTACATTCTGCCTGTTTAGGAAGATAGCACTTGGGATCAAAAGTAGTGGATCAGCCTGAGGTTTCACTTGGTACTACAAGGCTTCACTTAGTGATAAGGTGACATGATGACAAGAGCCAGTAAGCAAATTTGCCCTTGGACTCATTTGGACACCAGGCTGAGTCCTTACATTTCTAAACATGATGTCTGCAAAAGACTCTACTTCTCGTAGACCAGGGGTAGGCAAAATATGGCCCAAAGGTAGGCAGCCCATCAGTTGGATTGGCAAAATCATTTAGATCTGACTTACCAACTGATTGTATTTAGCCCATAGGCAGGCAGCCAAGAACTCATGAGATCCAGCCCGCAGGCTGCTGGTGGCTCTGGCTACTACACAATGCTGGGCAGACAGGGCTGTTTCTGCCATGCTGGGCAGGTGGAACCGTTTCCACCCAGCACTGATGTGGCAGCATCAGCCATGGAATTTAAGTGGACATCTCGATCCCCACCCAGAACCTACTGGCTGATACTGGTACCCAGAAGGACTACTTCTACCATGCTAGGCAAGTGTTGCTGTAAGCTGCAGACATGGCCAGCAGGTTCTGGGTAGAGGGGTGGGGACACCCTAATCCCCACCCAAAACCTGCCAGCCACGTCCACAGTTGACACTGGGGCTGCTTCCATCGTGCCGGGTGGGAGCTGGCGTAAACTGTGAATGTGGCCAGTAAGTTCCAGGTGGGATGGGGATTGAGGCGTGCTGCAGCTCTGGGTGGGGTGGCCCTCAAGAAGACACCAAAATGTATTAAGTGGCCCTCCAGTAAAAATAATTGCCCACCCCTGTCATAGACAAAGTCTTAAATATACTTGTCTAGATCCTCAGCCACTAGTTTGAGAGCCCAGACGGGGGGGGGGGAAGGTGGAGAAAGAAATGATTTTAGGGAAGGACAAGCAGCAAGAACACCCAGAAAGATCTAATTATATTTAACAACTTCATTAGCAAGTGGCTTACTTTTTAGAGCTAGGCGAGTCTATAGCTAGTATTCCTCAATATTGCAAGGGTCTTTCTAGCTTATTTTTCATCCCTTACTAATAAGTCATGCCAGTTCCAGGACTTGGCAGAGTGTTCTCAGATGAAAGATAAGCATCTTCTAACTAGTCATACATACAAGTGACCACGACAGAATAAGGTAAGGTTACAATCTACTTTACCTGTTGCTCATATCTGCAGCCCCCCTAACACACTTAGTTTAGCCCAGAGGATTGTAGCTTCTGTTAGTTCAGCTACTTTTCAGTGGGCAGTGAGTGCTACAGAGAACCTGTGCACACTGTTGGCTTTGAAGACTAAACTTCACCCTGCATCTTATGTGCAAGAGGTCTCAGTGCACATTCTTAGACAACCATGCAACAGCCTTCAGTCACTTGCAGGGCACCCACAAGTTGCACAACACCAATGGCTCCACTATATGGCCCAGCTTGTGACCTGTAGGTTAGAGTTCATAGACAAAAAAATAAGTGAGCCAACAATGTCTGAGCTTTTGGCAGCCTTGCAACTGGTTTCAAACTGTACAACTGAGTCTCCCTGTGGGTTACAGGACTTAAAAAAAAAAAAAGTTAGTGGACAAGTCAAATTGTACATTCATTGGAACATACAAAGAGACATTAACAAGCAAGTTTAAGACCAGTCCATAGTGAGAATCAAGTCTTTCTACGGACAGAAGAAAAAAAGCAGCAACATGAACATGTACCTAAAAGTTCAAGTTATATTATAAGTCTAACAGGTGACCTACAAACTCATATCACCAGGACCTAGTTAGAAATTCAGGAGGCAGAAGTTTCAGGTGACAGAAAACATGCACCTATTACTGTACTTAGGCTCCCAAATTTTAGGGCACCAAGCATTTCTTAGCTAATATCTCTTATCAGAGGAAGCAAACCTTGGTGCCGTGGAGCTCTCTCATCACCTTCAAACGCTTTAGAAACCCAGACGTCCCATCCTCCAGTCCGCTTTCGGCTGGATGCACCCCACATAGACTCATGTCACCCCTTGGAAAATGCCAGCTCCCAGTTTTTCCTCATGGTTTGACTACAGAAAAACAACAGAGTGATTCTTCTGCTGCAGAGATCTCCGGGGGGGGGGGGGGGTCGTGCGGAGTGGGGTGCGCGGGGGGGGGGGGGGGGGGTTCAAGGCCTGTTTTAAGGTGTCGTATTGGACACCTCCGGGTTCAGCTTGGGAATCGGCCCAGGGCGCTAACGCCGTGTGGCCCCGAGGCTCTCCCGGCTCCCCGGGCACCGCCCGGTTGAGGACCCCTGGTCGGGAATCGCTGCTTTCGTCTTTCCAGACAGGGCCAAGCGGCGTCTCTGGCGGGACTCGGGTTCAGCCGGCACACCCCGGGCGCTGGGGCTGCTCTGCGGGCAGGGACGTCCCGGCGCTGCCCCGCACTTCAGCGCCCCGCCCCGCACCGCACCCTCCCGCGCCAGCCGCCCCTGCCCGGACACC